CGGAACACCACAGCCACCCACCTCAATCCGCATCAGTTTTGCCAGTTCCCGTTTCGCTGCCTCAAAGATGCTGCTTGTCTGGCGTCCCTGGTAGGGCCCGAAGGGGCAGCCACCGGTGGCCAGCTCATCCTCGCAGTAGCTGTGCTCGCAGGCGCCCGCTGGCTGCTCCCGGGGCTCCTGAGTGGGGGTCTGCACGGGACAGGGCCTGTGACCTCTGTGCTCCCACCTGACCTTCTCTCGGGGATGCCACTGTGGGCCAGGCCAGGGTTGTGGGAGGGCACTGGGGAGGGGAGGGGACGAGGGCCTTACCCGAATGGGAGCTGCCTGGGGCCCCCCTGAGGCATCTTCCTGCAGGGACACGGAGATCCGGCCACGCTCATACGCCATGTCGAAGTCGGAGCGGGGCCCACCCTGCAAGCCTGCGGTGGACAGGAGGTATTTTATAAAAACAACAAAGATGAGAGCAACCCCAGTTGACCTATGTGCCAAATTCCCTATCTGTGCAGATGTGACTACTCCATTACAGCACTCGCCCTCAGAATCCTTCTTAAACACAGCTGGGAAGGCACCATCTCAATAATTACCCACAAAAACATCACGAGAATACTGCCAGTATTCCCACTTCACAGATGGGAAAAATCAAGGCTGGTACGCCTACAGGCAACCCAGAAGCCCGATGGCCTGCCCCCCCTCCATCTGGTGCCCCAAACCTGAGATGTCCACCGGCATGGAGATGCAGCGACTCAGCAGGGGAGCAGAGGGAGCCTCCAGGGATGTGGGCTTCACCGGATCCCCTGGGAGAGACACGTGGTCAGGCTCCTGCCCCTCAGAGCCTAAAGCTAGGATCACAGAGTAGGGAACTGAGCAGGGTTTAGAGATGGGTCAGCTCAGTCTCTGAGGACTGGGGGACTAGGAAAGTGATTCTGATGGCCCCCTGGGGCCGAGGCCAGGGGTCTCTGGGGGACCAAACAGGAGTCAGACCTGGGTACCTAGCTATGGGGTCCCTGGGAAACGGCTGGGGTCATCTCTGATACCTGCAGGTCCAGGTAGTGGGGCCCCAGTGGGGTCAGGCGGCCGGCCAGGAGTCTCCCTAGGCTCCTCAGTAGCTGAGGTGCTGACCACCCTCTTGGAGCCACGCACAGGGCTGGTGCGGGCTGGGAGGCCAGGGCTGGGGAAGAGGCGCAGGGGCTGGATCTCCTGGTGACAGAGAGTCCCCTTGTGGTAGGTCCTGGGAGGCATGCATCCCACCCCCACCCTCCAGGCTCCATGTTCCCTGGGCCCCCTGCAGAACTCACGTGGCTAAACAGCTCATTGGTCAGACCCAGGTAGTTGTGAAGGGCCAGAAAGGTGACCCGCTGCAGCCTCACCATGATGATCTGTGGCCAGGGAGAAGGGGGAGTGAGACACTGGGTAATGAGAATCACATAACAGAAAGCGGGAGAAAATGTGGACTAGGCATTAAGGGGGTGGAAGTGTAGGGAAGGTCAAGGCCGGGAGCAGTAAGGGGCTGGCCAGGGGCAGAGGGCGAGCCAGGGAGAAACCCACAATCAGGTGGCAGAAGCCTGGGGAGAAGGGGTGGAGGCAGCTAAAGGGAGGGGACAGGGGCCTCCAGAGATGTGGCTGCTCAGGGCTGATAAGCACAGCTTGAGCACCACCTGGCTGCTGAGCACCAGCCCGCAGGTGCCTGGGATGGGTAGGGGCAGGTGGAGGGAGGCCAAAGGCCCGCTGACCTGCACCACCCGCACCAAGCTCTCGGGGTACTTGGTGAACACGGCAGAGAACGCCTCCACGGGCAGCCGCAGCACCGTGGAGTCCCGGGCTGCCCGGGCAGATACAGTCCGCTGGGGGTGCTGGTGGCCCTGTGGGTATGGGGGGAACAAGGAGAATCAAGATCAGGGGCTGTGTGCTCCCTTACTGCTCCCCAAGTCCTTCCCAAGGCCAGTGCCTTGCGAGACCACTGGCAGCATCCGAGGGGACTCTGGGAGATTGGGGCCCCCCAGGTGACCCTCTCCAAACCAGCCCACTGAGTGGGTCCTCATACCCAGCTTCCTTGTCCCCCAAGACTGATCACTTACAGTGATGACATCCAGGATGCTCAGAAGGCTGTTGACGCTGTCCCCAGGGACCACTTCCTTCACCACACACTCCTTCCCATCCTGAGACACGTAGACGCGGGGGAGGGGGGGTTGACCGGGGCTGTCCCCCCCTGCCAACTGGCATTCCACCCCCTGAGCATGCCACTGGCTCTGGACCTCACCACCCAGTGATCATTGACACCCCGATCCCCAAACCCACCAAATCTCTGGCCGGTATCCATTTTCTGGCCGTCATTAACCATAACTGCTGACCATGTAGACCAACCCGACGCCCTTGCGTGTTTGTTCCCAACTTCTGCCTGCGCATCTCAAAAGTCCGTGAGCCCCGCTGACCGACAGCAACGCCCATCCCAGTCCCCAGTGCCCATCCCCACTGCCCATCCCCCCGTGGTACCCCACGATTGGTCCGCTCACCGGCCCTGGCAGACAGAGCTCCAGCAGCCCATCCTGCACCACATAGATACTGGCATCCGGCTGGCCTGGCCGGAAGACATAGTCCCCCTGGCTGAGCCGCTGGAAGACCATGTGTCGGCAGAGCTCCAGGAAGAGAGGCTTCTCGAAGTGGCCCAGCACCCTGTTGGATGGGGCAGAGAGGGGGAGGAATGCAGGAGGTCAGGTGAGCCCCCCAACTCTGCAGCCGCCCCCCACCTGCACCCCAACACTGACCGGACATTCTTGAGCATGTAGAGCACCTCGGAGGGCAGGTGGGAGTTAGCCAGGTCACCCTCCGTCAAGTCAGCCTCGAGCACTGCAGGCGGGGGCTCCTTCCGTTGCAGTGTTGGTGCCTCTTTCTGGATACGAAGGATCCTGGGGGGAAGAGAGGGGTGCAGGGGGCAGGTAGGGAGAGGGCTCGGGCAGACCTGAAGACTCCCACATAGCCTTTCCTCTAAATCACAAAGAACGGGAGTCAGCAAACTCTGGTCCACTACCTACTTACGTAAATAAAGTTTTATTGGCACACAACCATATTCATTCATTTACACGTTACCCGTGGCTGCTTTCACTCAACGACAATGCCGAAAAATTGTAACACAGTCATATAGCCTGCAAAGCCTAAGATGTTTACTGATCTGACCCCTTACAAAAAAATTTGTTGTCCTCTGATGTAAAATCCTGAGATCGCCTCTTTGCTAATCATAAGCTCCTGAAATGGACCCTGTAGTTAGGGAGACCCCTGGCATAAAATACAGCCTGACCCCAGAAACTGCACCTCCATTCATCATGGGACCCCTGAGACCTTCCTTCCTAGCACAGACCGGACCCAGAGATAGCCTCCCCAACACACGCAGAGCTCTGGGGTAGCTTCCATCATATGAGGAGACCCCATCAGCTGCTCGGACCTTTGTAAAGCTCCCTGAGCTGGCCTTTCCTTCCAGATCTCAGAGAACCCTGAGATGATCCCTTCGATGGTCACAAAGACTCCTGAAATAGCTCTCGTTGTATGTAGAGAGCACAGATAGTGCTCTCTGCTACTCACAGACCCAGAAGAGCCCTTCCCTGCAAGTCACAGGTACTACTGAGACAGCCCCTTCCCGGTCACAAGCCCCCTGAGATAAGACCCTCTAGAATAAGCAGACTCCTGAATTAAATTGCACGATATAGAGAAATCCAGATATGGTTCCTTTTCTGATCAAACAGATCTTGGGCTAGCCCTTGCCCAGTTCAGAGAGAGCGGAGATAGCCCCCTGAAGGTCATGAAACCATCAGTGTAGCTCCTCGAGGGTATGCACACATTGACACAACCCCCGTGACATACAGAGACAGGAGATACAGACCCTCAACTGATTATAGAGGCTCTAGAGCTAGCCCTTCTACCAAAGTCACAAAAAGCCACGCGATGACACATCTGCTGATCATGGACAGCCCTAGGATGACACCCTCAGTGGGAGAGCGCTTAGTGTGAAGACACCCTTGAGACAGACCTTCAAGTACATTCCATGATGTCTGGAGACCAACCTCACAGCCAGCTTCCAACTTAGAAAGATCCCTGGGAGAACCTTTCTCAGAGACTGAGATAGCCCTTTGCTGATGGCATGGAGCCCTGGGATGTCCTTCCTATGTTTCTTAGAGCAAGAAGATTCTCGAAATGACTCCTGGGAAACAGAAACGCCTAAGATAGCCTCCTTAGTGTAGGAAGAACTCCAGGGTAGGTGACATAGAGAGATGCTTTCTGACGTAGAGATTGCTGAGATAACCCCTAGAAAACAGAAGCTAGAGATAGCCCCTCCAGGAGATCACAGAAACACCTGAGTTAACCCCAATGAATCACCTCCTGTGTGGGGAGACCCATGAACTGGCCTACATGGAGAGCCCAGACGGAGACCCCTAACCCTATTATTACAAAGCGTCTAAGATACTGACTGACTCACAAACACCCCGTGGTAGGGGGAACCTCGCTGAGATGTTCTCAGAGCCCGCCTGTCTAGTGTGCGAGAGTTCTGAGATAGCCCCTCTAATGTGGGAAGACTCCCCAAACAGTCCGTGCAGCTCAAAGAACCCTTAGATACACCCTTTGGTGTGGGCTGATTACTCAAAGGGTCCCTGAGATAGCCCCCAGTGCCAGGTACACCCACTACAGCCTTACTTCTTGGCAATGTTGAGCATCTTAAGTTTCTTCTTCATGCGTGGCCGGGAAGTGGTGCAGACAGAAGCGTCCACCAGGGAGGAAGTGGACTGTGATACCTAGGAGGAGTAAGGATGGGGGATGGGTGAACTGCCAATTCAGAGCAAGGGAAGAAGGGGCCAGATCCAGAGAACCCTAGCCAAGGAAAACGAGTAAAAAGGAAAGGGCAGAACCTCTGTGTGTTCAGCGGGGACCCCGGGGGTCCTAAACTCACCTTCCGCATAATTTTCCGACCATAGAAGAGCACTTTGTCCCTCTTCCGGAATCGGTACCGGGGGCCATCCGGTGCTGGCGTTTCTGGGGATAAGTGGGGAGAGAAGCACTCTGAGCTCTGCGCAGACTCCACACGGCCAGAGAGGAGGGCACTGCGTGCAGACTCCCGTTAAGTCCCATCTCTACTGCCTCAGGAACCCGGGCATTTCAGCTCCCCACTCCGCAGCCTCCCCGGAGGGGCCCTCCGGGTCCTCACTCGGCACTCGGAGCCTCCGCACCAGCAGGAGGATGAGCACTGCAGTGACCAGCACCGCGACTCCGGCCCCAATCATCACGCCCAGCACCTGCGGGACGAATGGCACTGGCTGCGCATCGCATACCCGGCCTGCCGAGCCCTCCCCGGAGGCCGGGACGCCCCCGTCCCCATCCCATTCGCTCAAGTCCGCCGCCCCCGAGGAGGTCACAATCGGCCCGTGCCTCGACGTCCCCATCTGCAGAATGGGCCGCCGCTGCTCCCTCCCCGGGGGCGCAACTCTTTCCGGCGGCTCCGCGGCCGGCGGTGCACGCCGGGAAACGTAGTTCCGTCTGAACAGTTCTCGCGGGACCGCGATGAGCGCTAAGCATTTCGGGAATTGTGGTCCCCACAGCGCCTCACAAAGCAATCTTTACCATTCCCGTTTGCAACGGAGCTTCCATCAGTTGCTTCAGACTGGGCGGAGGTCTGGTAGCCCGGAATCCTGGGGAATAAGAAGCAGGAGGAACCGGTGCAAGTCGTCACTCTGGGCCCGCTTCTCCCCTACCCCTACCTCGAGCCTTGCCCCCTTCGTACTCGCCGCCTGGATGGCTTCGCTGGCCGGGGGACGGCTGGTGGGGAGCTGCAGAGCAGAGAGGTGGTGCAGGTTGACCTCGACGCCCGGGCTAGGGAGTAAGGCGCGTCCCTGGCTCCCTTCACCCACACGCCGAGCCGACCAGACGCCCCACGGGTACAGCCCCACCCTGGGGCCAAAGGGCAGCCGGCCGGACACCCACAGTCAGCAGCGTGCGCACGGGTCCCCGATAGAGCCCGCCTTCCTCCTGCAAGTGGCCTCCTCCTAGCCTCCGCCCTGAGGGATTGATCAGTCCTGACCCGGCAGACCCAAGGCCGCACCCCTCTGCGAAGACTGGATGCCCCAACCCCAGAAACTGGGGCCTTCAAGCCACGGGGTCGCCTGACTTCTGACCCAAACCTGCCCCTGGGGAGACCCACGGGCGGGGGGCGCTCGGGAGTGCTGCTGGAAACTCCCACACAAGGGATCCTGGGGCGTTGCGGAGGTCTCGGAGGAATCCCGGGACGCTCGGAGTGGGGCGGGTTCGCAAGGTGTTACTGTGATGCTAGATTTACAGTCACGCATTAGTAAAGTTACGGGGTCTCTGACAGTGTGAAGCATCACTGGGACTCTCGGAACGATGCCGGCGCCATTACTGGGAGACGTAACCAGGGACGCTGGAATTACTGGGGATCACTGTAAAGTTACTGAGAGATTCTCAGGAATACAGCACTATTCCTGGGAAAACTGGGAAGTGGGTGAGCACGTCCCTGGGGTCGTTTGAGCAAGAGCCGGCTAGGAATGAATGCTGGAATATTACTGGGACTTTTCTGGAAACCTGAGAATATTTCTGGCACCGCTGGAGTGCTAACGGAAATTTGGGGGAGTCACTGGACCCTGGAGGTATAACCTGGAAAATTCATGGGAAAGACTACTCCTCTTCCTCCCTAGCGCGCACCTGGCTACCGGCGCGGAAACACCTGCCAGTAACTGGGGGGGGGGGGGGGGAAGGGAGCATCAGAGAGTCGGGAGCTACCGGCCAAAGGAGGGCAGATCTTGGGAAAGCCGAGGACTCGCTAACGACCCCCGAAGGGACGCCTCTGCGCGGGCGACGAAAACCCGGACTCACCCACCGGGCCGCAGCCGGGGTCCACGCTGCGCCAACACCAGTAGCTTTCCGTCCAGCGCCGCGGGCGCGGCCCCTTTAAATTATTCGCGTAAACCGCGCTGCAGCCCCGCCCCCCACGTGTGTAAGGTCTCGCACCGCCCGCCACGCTGTTGGACGACGCCTTAAAGGGGCCGAAACCGACTAGCGCAGGGAACGCCCCTCCCGCTAGAAACGAGAACAAGTTTATTTTCCCGTTTATTTAACACCCACCCCAGCCCTGTCCCACCCGTGTCCGACCCGACTGGGCCAGGTCCTCAGGGCGCAGCAGGGAACCGGTCCTTAAAAGCAAACCCTAAAAATAAATAAGCGTGAGTCTCCGCAGTCGGAGGGCTAATGTCCAGTAGCAGTGGCGGGTCCGAGTCAATTCACCAGCAGCGAATGCTCCTCCGAGGCGTCCCTGGAGGAGAGGCAGTAGCAAGCAGCCTGTCAGCCGGGGCGGAAGGCAGCAGTTCCCTCGGGCACGCTCCCTGTCCCCAGCCCCCAATCCCTAGCTCGAACCTGCCGCAGCAGCAGAGGAGGCTGCAGGCCGAGCCGCTCCCGCGGCGGAACTTGCCGGAGGTGGGGCTGTCCCGGCACTGAGCAATGTAGGCCTGGAGCTCGCTCTCCTCTGCGCCAGCACCGCCTGGGTGCTGGGGAGAAATGCGGGGTGGCCCCTTTGAGGTTTGCCCTCCCCACCACCTCCTCGCCAGGCAGCCAGCCAGCGAGATCTCCTCCCTGTGACTCAGCCACCAGCCAAGCTCCCCACCCCCACCACCCCTTTGCACTTGAGGTCCCCTCCACCTGTCACTCCTCGGGGTTTGCTTCCCCGGGGTTTCCTTCCCCGGGAGACACTGCCTGGCCCCTGAGTATGTGCACGCCCCGCATCTCGGTCAGTTGGTGCCCTCTGCCGCTGCCCCAGCACCCGGAGCCATACCGGACACAAGCAGGGTGCCTGCATGGGCACATCTACTGAGTGGGTGCACACGGCAGGAGCAAGGTCTGCGCTTTATATCCAAGGCTGATACACACGTGTGACATCTAGGTGCTAGAGCAAGACCCGGGGGGCTCCTTGGACCCGAGTGACAGGAGTGTATCTGTGGGATGACTGTATCCATGCTTAGGGGGGGTGCACCCCTGCATCCCCAGCAGAACTCTGGCTTTCGGCAGAGCCTTCACCCCTCCCAACCTGGTAGAGAAGCCATCATCTCATCCCCAAGTCCTTTCTGGCTACTGGGCCTTTGCTCTGGCTGTTCCTTCTCCCTGGTGCTCTCTCTTGGACTCCCCTCTTGTCGATCCAGAAGTTTCTAAGACGAAGGAAAGCTCTGCCATCTGTGCTGTCCAATCTGGTAGTCACTAGCCACGTTAGCCTTTGGGCACTTGACAGGTGGTGTGAGTGAGGAACTGAATGTAGAATTGTATTTCATTTCAATTAAAGTCAAAACTTAAATAGTTACATGTGGCTAGGACCAGTATTAGCACATTCTAGAAACTTCCCTGGACTCACCCCAATACGAGTCTAAAGCAGGGGATCCTTTTGTAACCTTCATCCCTCTCACCAGTTGGTCATCCCAGTTCTGTTCATGGATCATCCATCTTGCCTACTGCTCTGGGATAGCCTGTATATACCATGTTTCCTAGATACCCAGCACAGGACCCTCAGACACGTCTGCTAAAAAAATCGTGTCTACCTGCCTCTCACATTCTACTCCAACCCCTCTCCTCTGACCCCTGCAGCCTGCAGAACCACCACCATTCCCTGGACCCAAAGAGCTCCCACCCAGGCCACCCTACAGGATGGGAAGGTGAGGATCAGGACTTCCGGAAACACACAGTCCTGGGTTGAGCCTGGCTCGACCACTTAGTAGCTGACCTCAGGGAAGTCACTAAAATTCTACAGCCTGGTTTCCCTGTTGGTAAAAGCAGACACAGGAACCTTAACCTGGCCAGAGCCCCACCTTGATAAAACCGAGAATGTGGCAGCTGTGATCAGCACACCTCCCCCCACCCCCGATCCCCAGCCACCTCTCTTCCGCTTCTCAGTGTCTCCCACCTTCTTTCCCTGGGTCCTTCCCTCCTCACCCTGCACCACATCCCCTGAGACCCTGCTGGGGCCAACTCCAAGGGCCCTGGAGCCCAAGGTTCAGGGCTGTATGTACGTGAGGGTTGGCCCCCCATGGAGACAGGCTGGGAGAGGGCATGCGGGCCGGGGCTGACCTTGATGGTGTCGTAGGCTCCAGTGATGAGCGCGATGAACAGGCTCAGCACCATGTAGATGAAGAGGCTGATGAAGGAGTAGAGGTAGAGCTGGGAGAACAGCCAGACGAGGCTGCTTCGGCCCTGCTGAGCCTGCATTGCGGCAAACGTCACGAACATGTCGTCCCCATTGATGAGCGAGAACAGGCACTCCGACACCATGGACAGCGAGCGAAACTGCCAGCAGGGCAGTGGGGTTGTGGGGTCAGAAGGACCGTGGGTACAACTGCGGGCTGGGGATGGGGTGGGTTCACGGGGAGTCAGAGGGAACAATGGGCAGAACTGCTGGAGACCTCCTGGTAAGGTACCAGGGGTCAAGGTGGGCTGTTCAGGGTGCCCAGATCAACAATCAATAGACCAGGGGTCAGAGGGTTTAGCAGTGGGCTTGGAGAGGGGAGACAGGAACCCCTTGACTGTGGGTCACGAGCACCACGCCCTGGACAGCCCCTACCTTCACATGGTAGGGGCCCAACACGATCCAGCCACAGAAGCAATAGCCCAAGTAGATGACAGCCACACAACAGCAGAAACGCATGACGCTGGGCAGGGCCACCCGCAGTGTGGCAATGAGAATCTGTGGCAGGGAGATGGGGAGGCCTCGATGAGGGTGTGGCCACAACCTAGGTTGGCCTTGCGAATGGGAGGGAAGCAGGCAGTGCCTGGCTGAAGTCACACCAGAGTGGCCACAGAAGCTGGAGGTAGTTTAGAAGGGGTGGGGGGGGGGCAGGGGACCTGAGGATACCCCCTGGCCAGACTCAGCTGGGTGGCATGAAGCAGCAGGCTCCCATGGCTCTGGTTTGGGGGCAGGGACAGGTACATCTGGGGTGGGCAGGTACGGGGAAGAGGCTCGTGACAGGCCATCTATAGAGGCTGGTGATGGCTACAGGTGTATGTATTTATCCGGGGGAAGAAAGTGAGAAGTGGGGAGCGTACGGCCACCACCTGGAGGGTCCAGCCTGCACATTCGAAGCTTACATTGTACTTATGGAAGAAGGTCAGATAGCGGATGACGCCGACCCAGACGAGCAACGTGGAGGTGCCCAGGAGAATGCTGCAGACGTCGTAGCTCGCCAGGTTCTAGGGACAGCAGCAGTGTCAACCCCACCTGGCCTGGCTCTTCCCAGGGGCTGTGGCCCCAGGCAGGTATGGGAGGGGTATGCCGGGGAGGTGGTATAAGGGACCAAGGCCTGGAACAAGTCAACAGGGCCCCAGGCAGGACCCACCTTGGCTTCAATGCCAATCTTCATGATGGTGCCCGAGATGGTGAGCACATCGCTGGTGACCAGCAGGATGTACCAGCCATTGACAAATTCCAGCCGATCCCAGAGGCTGATGACCCGTCCCCGCTGCCGCCACATGAACCCAACAAACTCCTGCAGGAGGCAGGTGGGCTGAGGGCTGGCCCGGGCGAGGGACCCTCTCTCCCCCGGCCCTTATGGCCCCCGAGCCAGGAGAGGCTGGCTCAGGCACACATGCGTGCCACTGGACGCAGCTCTCACGTTCTGCAGCAGAAAGCCACGCAGCAGCGAGCGGGCACACAGCAGGAAAGAGAAGGAGCAGGTGAGGATCACGACCACATCGAACAGGAGCCGGAAGCTGTTGTCTCCTGTGGGGAGAGGACTTGGGTAGGGCCGGGAGTGGCTTGGGGCCTTGGGAGACTAGGGATGGGGCTAGGCCCAGGCCTAGGGGGCTGCAGGACTGGTGGTGGCTACTCAGTGGGCTTATGGGTTACCTGGATGAATCAGGAACTGGGCCCGTGCTGGTCTGGGGCTTGGGGGATCCCCGGGCAGGTCAGGGCCCCTGCTAGCATGGGTCTGGGGGTTGGGGGCTCACCATGCCTGAAGACGCTGGGGTGTTTACACTCCTGGATGTGGGCCTGGGTCTCCAGACTGATTGGGATACGCCCACTGTGCGCCTTATTGTCGAAAGTGATCTGCAGGGGTATGGCAGGGCAGGAAAGGCCAGAGTAAACCTTGGCAGACTCAGGCTCCCAGACCTGCATGATGGATGGTCTGTCTGGCCCCATCTCCCTTATTACCCCTAAGCTGCCCTTGGCCAAGGGTCCCCAGCCCCGGAGCTCAGGAGCCCTGTGGGCAACCCTTATCACTGGAGCGCCTGCCCCCCTTGTCCTGGACACTGGGCTTACCAGGACACTGAAGGTGTAGCAGTCAGGAATTTCATTGTTGATCAGGCTCTGAAGATTGATGGTCTTCAGCTGGAAGTGGATGGTGACGTTGATCAGCCTGGGAGGGAAGCTTCGGTGAGGGAGAGGGGCTCTGCTGGTCCCTCCTGCCGCCCCCCGCCCCCCACCGCAGCGCTCCTGCCCCACGTTGACTCTGCAGCTTGCAGAGGAAGTGCTCACACACAGGCATCAGCATGGTCTTTCTCTGTCCCCGCCGGTGGGGGGTGGCCAAGGATGCCTGGCATCCTGCCTCCCCCAACCCTCGGCCCAGCCCTGGCGGCCCCTCCATCAGGCAGTACTTGTGGAATTTGAGCGTGAGGTTCTTGTAACTGGTGCTGCTGTCCGAGAGGGAGAGATCATCACTGGGGGGCACAAGGGGTCTCTCAGGGGGGTCCACCTGGATGCAGTCTGAGGACAGGGAGTCAGGGAAGGGACACTGGGGGCGGGAGAGGCACAGGCAGGTCTCCCCAGAGTCCCCAGCAGCCCCCTTCCCTCCTTCATGTCCCACTATGAACTTAACATTTGTCATCTGTTCCCCACTGTCTCCCCTGGAGAGGGCCCAGTTCGTCTTATTGCCTACACAGGCCCGAGGGCCTGGCGCTCAGTGGGCCCCCAAATGCTTAGTGAATTAACGATATTAAAACACAACACTCGGGCGCCTGGGTGGCTCAGATGGTTAAGCGTCTGCCTTCGGCTCAGGTCATGATCTCAGGGTCCTGGGATCGAGCCCCGCGTC